TGAATCCTAAACCCAAAGCCCTGAACGCTAACCCCCAAATGCCGAGCCTTAAACTGAACCCAATCCCTAAGGGTCCATGTACCCAAATAGTAAAAAAATTGGGCCCAATGTACCTTTTTAGGGATTACATTAAAGCCAATGTATATACTATTTGGGTACATGGACCCTTAGGGAATGGACAAAACGACGAAAGATCCTCCAAGGGGCCCAAAAGCGGACGCGCGGCCAGTGGCGGTGCACGGCGTGGCTCAGGTGGCTAACTTCGGTCTACAGCCTTAGTAGCTTTGGGTTTAGGGTATTGGGGTGGAGTGTGTATAGTGGGGATACTGAAATGCCATAGCATTTGAAGAGTTTTGAGTTTTGCGTCGCGCAGCAGTGTTATTCTAGAGGCCGGAAGAGTAGGCTGCGATTCTGGGGTATGCTAGAACTATAACCGATCATTTGGTGCCGGCAAACAAGCAGTACAAGCTTTGTGCAGGCCCCTGTACTTTTGCTTGAGGGCAGTTCTTATAGACTGGAAGCAAAATCATTTCATGCATAGCTGCCTCATTGTAGGTCCTTGACAGTGTTGAGATATTGGGAACCCTCAACCCTAAACCGCCAGTATCACAGCCATTGAGGGCCCTATGCTAAGCTACTTCAGGTCCCATCGAAAGGACCATGTGGGATAATGTAGGAACCTGATTAAGAAACCCTGGGCCTATAACCTCAAAATAGTAGGATGCAAAAAGGAACCCTAATGAAGGCCCAGGGTTTCTTAATCAGGTTCCTACAGTACGAAGTTGTGGTGAAGTCTTGGCATGAGTTGATCAGCGCTGGGTTCCTAGGGTTCCTTTTAAGGGTACCTTTAAGAGTTCCTTTAAGGTCCTAGGATTCCTTTTAAGAGTTCCTTTAAGTCTGGGTTGTGCACGACCTGCCTACGGTGTAGGATTTAGGGTTAGGGCCTTCTTCACTCTCATTTTAGCAACACATACCTATAGTCTCCATTGTAGTTCCTTTTTGGGGTTACCTTATAGGATCCTCATTATATATTTGGTTAAGCCAAAAAAAGGAACTACAATGGAGGCTATAGGTACCTTCAACTACCAGACCCTGACTTTCGTAGGCTCTCATTCCGAACCCTAACATGGGAGTTTATAGGGACCCTTCAAAGAGCAGGTGTTGGTAAGTTGAGGCAAGCCCAACACTTTATTCTATTTATCACAAGGCCCCTACACTACATGGTGCAGATCTGAAGTTGAGGAGACGAGGACTTAAATTTGAATTTTGTAGGTTCTGATTATGAAATTGTTAAGGAGGGCTTGGGTAGAAATTGTAGGAATGTAATTACTCAAGAGAGGCGTGCATTCAAAAACACAATCTGCGCTTATGCGGATCCTCCCAAAAGGCGGGGTTTGGTAGGTTCAGGTACACCCTGAGCTGTGCATGAGCTACCAAATGGGGCTTCAGAATAAGATCCTACACCAAGTAGGCTCCTGTGGGAGTTGCGGCTTCATAGCCGCAGGTCTAGGACTCGTAATTTAAGGTTTGGTCAGGGATGCTAGCCGAGGTTACAATTCAGCGGTTGGGTGTTTTTGGTTTTTTGTTTAGGATTTTACATGCGGCTACGATCCAAGGGGGTCTGGCTCGTATTCATGCGGGTTGATTTTCAGTAAGCTGGCGCACGTGAGGCTGCGCCTGCTGCATTTGCTGGGCGGCTCCGTGATTTATCTATGCCTAGGAGGCACGTGGCTCTGGACAGATTGGAACTGGGCCACTTGAAGTTCGCACACTTACAAACAGACCTTGCCCTGCAGCGGCGTAAGACCTGCGCCCTGTCCTGAAGCTCATACCCAGAGCCCCAAGCCTAAGCCCTAAACCTTCGAAACCCAACGCCATTAACCACCTTCGAATCTATTCCGTCTTCCATTTACGGCTCAGGGTTGAAGCTTGTGATTACGGCCAACTGCCCGTATTGTCCCTAAACGCCTAATCTAAAGCCGCTGTGCCCCTAACCGGTATACCCTAAATGCTCCCAAAGACTCACCCTTGCAACCTGAATCCTTCAAGCTTAAACCTGCGCCCCCAAGCCCAAGTAAAGCAGTGTCATGTCAGCATACATGCAATGCTTGCTAGATGCCGATCTCCCAACCCCGGAAGCATATGCCCCAAAGCCATGTGTCTTCAGTATTTCATTCTATGCAGCCCCAGAAGAGGAGCTGCATCCACGTGTCTCGGAAGACTCAATTGTTTGTGAGTGTTGGGCAACACAGGCCTGGCCCATCCTCCCCCTTAGAGTCGCGCAGTAGCACACTTGTATCCTGTTTAGTTTGGGTTCCCCAGGGTTTAGTGGGCAAGGTTGGGCAGAGGACTGTTTGATAGGTTTTACGACGAAGGGTTCACATCGCGTCGGGGTCGAGTGTGGCCAGGCCACGTTTCATGTGCGCCCCATGTAATCAGACCTGCTCTGACATTTGAAGTTCAAACGAGATCTCCCTACTGGCGTCCAGTGGCAACAGTGGTCCGGCTCGCATACTGTATGAAGAGTCATCATGATGCCCGAAACCTTAAACCCCAAACCCCAAACCTGCCTGAGCGTGTTTACTTGACCCAACTCACCCAGAATCATCCACCAAGTCGCCTCCATAAAAAGGCAGCAGTCGCCAAGCAAGCATACATCAAAAGATGTTTCCGCGCTTTTTCAATAGAGTCATCCCATGACCCTTCTTCTCGGACTACTATGACCGAAACCATAAACCCCGATATGCCCTGAAGCCTCAACCTTGAAACACGATTTGTAGGCACCCTGTGTGCAGGCGGAAAAGAGCTTAAAACAAAACTATTAAGAAAGCCTTGATCGTAAATATCCTAGATCATCGGTTCCAAAGCACACAGCTCTACTGCAACCAGGGTCTCTAAACTCATCTTCCCAGGGAGTCCACCATCCCTTGAGGATCCTACGGTTGATGATATAAATTATGCATTACCTTAATATAAGGACCCTAAACTATGGGAATTATGGCATATTCCTTATTATGGGTCATGCAGGATTTATATCATCAACAGTATTACATGCCTTAGGGCTTTAGAGCTTAGGGGTTTAGGTTTTGGGGTTCGGGGCTTAATAGCGGTCGCGGCGGCTTAAATTGAAGTCCTGCTGAAGGCGTCCTAGGCTCTTGAGGCTTGAGGTTCCTGTGTTACTTTTCTCATAGGGATCCTTAGGGGTGTGGGGGGGAGGGGTGTAGGGGACTATACTTCCTTAAATAGGCCTTATTAGTCCTTATTATGGGCCTTAAGGCCCCCTACCCCCCCTCCCCCTACACCCCTAAGGATCCCTATGATTTTCAACCCTCATCTCCTCACAAAACGTGGTCTCCCCACTACTGGGTTCTTGTTAAGGAACTTAATTTAAGTTACCATAATAGGGATCTATCGTAAATAATAGGGTTTCCTTATTATGGTAACTTAAGTTAAGTTCCTTAACAAGAACCCAGACTATCACCCTTTTCCCCTTTTCTGTCGGTGTCTCTTTGTTAACACCGAATACTTACAAGGCAAAAGGGCGCCCTTACACAAAAAGGGGCTACTGGGAAACGGAGAAACGTAGTTCTACTGTTACTCTGGGGTCCCTAAGCCCTAAACCCTAAATCCCTATAGATCCCTTAAAGGAACCCTTTTAATATATACCCTTGTTACAGTTGGCTTGGGGTTTAGGGGTTCTCGTGGCCTCGTTCGACGAAGCTTCTTCGACTATAGACCTGGTCATTATGATTGTTTTTAGTACTGCGAGTAGCATTGTTGCTAATGTTGTTATTGCCTTTGTTATGACCAGTGCTGTTATTGCTATTGTTATTATGATTGCCATCCGTGCAGTACTATTTCATCTTAGTATGCCCTTGAACCCCTTATACTAGGTAGGCGACATGGGCTTGCGGCTGACGTTGGCATGGAGTTCGCGTAGTCACTCAACACCGCTGCGACGTAGCTCACTCATTCTCAGCTTCCACAGCTTCGACCAGCGGGAAAAGTCCGAACCAAGTTTCCCAGAGACTCCAAAACCGCATGATTTCAGGGACAGCTACCTGCTTTTAAAGACTCCAAACCGGCAACCCCAAACCCTTCATTCGGGAAGATACCTTAAACTCCCCTGACCCCTAAATTTATTGATCCATCCCCTACCGGCTGAACCTGCCCCCGAACCCTAAGCACACCCCAAATGCTACACGAAACCCTAAATGCTTCACGTTGAACCCCATTCGATTGTATCACTACGTAAGTATGCAGTTTGGGATTCTTTTCGCAATTATTTAGACACGTTGCTCGCATACCATCTACATCTACAGGGACTGCTACAGCCAGGAATTCGATGTTGGTCCGCAAGCCCCGCCACCCTCCTGAACAGCCCCTTCATGTAGGAGCCCGAATATTTAGGAGTGCCAAGCAGTATGCTTTAAAAGCCCCATTTTATTGTTAAGCTAATGCCTTCATAGCTACCGCATAAATCCCACAACCTTCTACGCAATCCCACAAAGCCCTGTAGTATAGAAGCCCTATTCTAGCTGCGAAGGGGGGGTTAACAGAAAGCCCCGCCAAAAAAAAAAAAAATGCAAGTCCCGAAACCCTAGACCAGATTGGGGACTCCAGAGTCCAGTAGTTCTGCTGAGCATGGCCGACCCTTTCGTCAATAAATCGGGACATGACTCTAATATGGACTATGGAGTTCAAGAATATGTTATGGCACACTTCTAATCAAGAAAAAGAGTGTGCATTTCTCCTTTTGATGCGGAAACTTAACGAAGCCGCCAGCTCTTGAACCAAAACCCTGCAGGGTTCAGGGTTTGGGATTTGGGGTTTAGGGTTCATGGTTTCGGGTGTGCGATTTGGGGTTTAGGGTTCAGGGTTTCGGGTGCAAGGTTTTGTGTTTAGGGTTTGGGGATTAAGGTTAGGAGACTTGGGGTGTTTAGGTTTACCCCAACCCATAACCCTACACCATGAGACCTCCACCCTGAACCCCCGCTGAGGCTGTATCACCCAGATCGTCTGAAGAGCTCTGGAGGAGTCCTCAGCAAGGCGCGTCTTGCCCAGAGACTAGAGAAACGAGAGGCCATACTGTAGGGTTTTAGGGCTCAGGGTTTTGGCCATGCCTTAGGGTTTAGGCTTTAGGCCAGGGTTTAGTAAGGGTTCAGGGTTTAGATTCAGGGTTTCTTGCCATGCTTTGGCTTTATCTTGAAGCGTTGAAGGATTTCTAATCTTCGTCACATGCACATACTCTCAATGACATGTCCGAAACACGCTTATTGTCGGGTATGGGGTTAGGTTGAGAGGCTTGCTTTTTTGTGGTTTGGGGGTTCCTGATGTACAGAAAGCCTATGTACTTCACAACACTTAAACCCTGAGCAACTCATATAGATTGCCAACAGAAAGCTTATCGACGTCACATAAAACCCTATAAAATCTCCAAACCCTGAACCCTGTAAAACCTTCGAGAGCCCAAGTATTCTGTGGAGGCGGCTGCCCAACGAAGCCACGAGCAGCGCATGGCCTTGCTGAATGCTGCGCATCGTGTGCTCTCGGATCAGAGGCAAAACCTGGAGTAGGGGTTTGGGGTTTGAAGTCTAAGTTTTCAGTGCTTACAGGGATTAGATGAGGAATTAGGGTTTTGGGGTTACGGTTCAGGTGTTTAAGTGTTCAGGGCTTCAGGGTTCTTGGTTTAGCACCTAGAGCCTGGAGAAGGGTATAGGCTCCAAGGTTTGGGGGTTAGGGAATTTTGAGGAACAGGAAAGAAAGCTTCTAGAAGTCTTTACAAGGGTGCTTAGAACAGCAGCGGTGACAACAACAACAACAACAACAACAATAATTATCGCAATGATGGTCAGAACACTGCGTCACAAAGGCATACATACTGTTGAGAGTTGAGACTGCTTGGAAATCTGGTTGTGTGAACAAACGACGGCAATAACAACAGCGGCAATTTTGCAGAGGCTACGCCTGGCGTACGATAAGACGCTGCCTGAGCCTGACGGCGTGCGTCCCCCAGCATTAGCATGTCTGGGTTCTGGGGCACAACTTAAAGATACATCATCCAGGCTGTTCTGTGGTACACTTTTTTACTTTCAGGTTTCTGGGTTCCTATTATAAAACAGGAAGCCTAAAAAAGTATAGACTTTTTCCCAGTGGGTTACTATCGGCCCCTGAAACCTGAACCCTAGGCTCTCAAGCTTCAGTGTTTGTGTGCCAAGCTTGGAATTCAGGCGTTGCAGGTCCACCCTCACATTTTCTGAGTCTCCGGCTTCTGCTCCGGTGCCTTAAGCTGCATCCTAATTAAAGACGTAGTCCTACGATCGGGGCTGAAATAATACCTATACTATTGTAGGGGTTCCTGAGTATATGTCTAGTATCATGGGCCCCAAATCCCTATTGCAATAGTCAAAGCTCTTGTAGTAGCAACCCAGCTCCCGCTGCCCAGGCAGACGAAGTCGACTTCGCCACTCTGACTTGTCCTTGAATGCCCAGCGTTTCTGGAGTATCTTCGGTATTTCCCAATGAGAATGATGTGGCTAGAAGGACTTGTGGTAAGACGACGAAAGCAAGCCCTAAAATCCACTGCAGATCACGACGCAAGGCCAAAGTCCCAGAGCCAGGCCGCAACCGAGGGTACGAAGACGACCATGAAATATCCAGGCCCCGATAGTCCTGTCCTATTGATGCCAGTTCCTAAACCCGAAACTCTAAACCTAAACCCGAGGACCTAAGGTCCAAAAACCCTAACCCCTAAACCCTTCGACCCTAAACCCCCAAACCCCTAAACCCCTAAACCCCCAAACCCCTAAAACCCCAAACCCTGGACCGTGGCAGGCACCAGGCCGTAGTAGCGAGAAAGCAGAGGAGATCTCCGGACTTCAATGTTGAGTCCTTCGTTTCTGAAGGGATTAGGGTTTAGGGTTTAGGGTTGAATCCTTCGTTTCTGACGGGACTAGGGATTAGGGTTTAGGGTTGAGTCCTTCGTTTTTGAAGGATGCTTTAGGGATTTTGGCTTAAGGTTTAGTTTGTCGGGTTGAATCCTTCGTTCTGAAGGGGGTGAATACAGAGTTTTCGGTTTGGGGTTTATGGTTTGGGACCAAACCCCCAAAGAGACCCAATCCTGAACCCTAAAGACCCGTCACTTGAATCCCCAGACCCTAAAGCCAAACCTCCGAGCACCCAAAGCTGCCAAACCCCTGAACTCCTAAACCAAAACCCCTAAACCCCTGAACCCAAGATCCTGAGCCCCTAAACCCCTAAACTCCTACACCCAGAACCCTCAAATCTCTACACCCAAAAACCCCGCACCGCAAACCCCAAAAGGAGCAGTTCGATTTCGATTTCCTTGGCTCGGATCGGCATGGCCCTCGGAATTCCAGGGTTTAGGGTTCAGGGTTTCGGATTTAGGATGTACAGGGCTTAGGGTTTAGGGAGGGGTTTTACATCCTTGTCCGTTATATACTTAGAGCTCCGAGACCCCAGACAAATACTCAGGCTTTACTGCCGGCCTTGCCGGAAGGGGGGGCCAGGTGGTAAAGCCTGATTCATTTGCGGAGCTCAAATTGCTGGGCGTTTTGTAACCGACAAAATCGGGGGTCCGGGTGGCTATTCGGGTGAGCATGTGATGCTTATACGGTCCTCGGTTCTCGGACTCGTGGGGTCTAGAGTCTAGAGTCTAAATAAGTTCCAATACTATTTTGGGGGTTCCTTGCTCTACATATAGTGTGAAGGGCCCCAAAAACCCTGTTCGAATCATTAGGACCGCTATTATATAGAGCCCACTAAAATTCCCATTATAGTAGCCCAGCCCCTATAGACCCCTTCGAAGGAGCCCTATTCTAATTAAGTAAGGCCCCTTTTGTTACCGTACCCTTATAGTAACCCTTCTAGCGAGGCCCTTTCGAGTTGCCCTCGGGCGCGCAGCGCGAGCGGCCAAAGCCTGCGGCAGTTGGGCTCCTAGTGGAGACATGGTTTACTCGAAAGTAGGCTTTAGGGTTTACAGTAAACCCCATAAAGTTAGAAACGGGATGAAGGCCAAGTAGTGCTGGGATTCCCCATACATTACTCTTACATAAGGACTGAGGCTATTGGGTTTCCAACTGTTGGGCTTCTATTGTAAAGTAGGGTTTAGGGGTATCGATTTTGGATATTTTTAATTTCCGTTATTGTTCAATATACACCCCTAGTAATAATAAATTTTGGGTGGCTTGCTAGTACATGATTTTATCTTGGGATGGAGTAAGCAATGTAGACCTCTGATGAATGAACCCTTTCTCATTCAGAGCCTGAAGATTGATTAGGATCGCTATTCAGAAAGAGAGGGTCTATCAACTAGGGTCTGCATTGTAAGTAATTCAGAAATAGAGCTGTCGGTACTTTGTTAGCTGGGTTATCCTACATAGCTTTTTTTCCCTTTCTAGCCTGCTCACTCACTCGCTGATCGTAGGGTTTAGGGATTAGGGGCTTTTGAGATTCGGATTGTGTTTCAAAAGCAGGTGGTGTACACAGAGGATTTCAGGATCAAAAGATTGTGCATAGGGTATCAGGTAACGTATTGTGGATCTGCATCCTGTACTTGGAGGGTCGGGGGACTTACTAAGTAGTTAGTTTGGAGAGTTATAAGTACCATAACCCCAATTAGGATTTCTATTAGGGTACTTATAACTCTACTTCTTACCTACTTACTAAGTCTCCCGACCCTCCAAGTAGAGGGTTTCCGAGGATCTTCTCAAGGGTTTTGTCTTGATGGTACAAGGTACTTCAAGGGCATTTGACTCGAGTACCGAAATACTTGCTGGCCCTCCATGAGCGTCGTCGGCGCATGCCGCGCCTCGGAGTGGCTTCCGTCTTCTTGGAGGGTCGCGGGACTTAGAAAGTAGGTAATAAGTAGACTTATAAGTACCCTAAAAGGGACCCTAATTGGGGTTATGGTACTTATAAGTCCCTAAAATAACCAGTTACTAAGTCCCCCGACCCTCCAAGTTGCTAGGGGACAGGAGTCTGGATTGGATGTCCCACAGCGCAGTTCCGCCAGCCCAACATTCCGGCTGAAGCATGCCAAGAAGAAGAGTCCAGCAGTATCCTTGTACCCTTTTTGCTTGCGGGTTCCACTATAAGCTAAATACCGGGAAGAGGGGGCACGCAGACTTAATTCAAAAGGTAGGTTATGACTCCAGAGTTACAGGTCACAGCCCTTCGAATCCTAGGCGTTTGGATCTAGAGCCCAGGACGTTGAGTTTCCTTCTTAGAGCTTGGAGGTTGCTTCATAAGGCTTTAAAGTTGTTGGGCTCAGGGTTTAGGGTGTAGGGTTTGGAGTATAGGGTAAGCTTTCAGTCGGGATTCATACGGGCCTCATATGGCATTTCAGGGAATAATTCTTGGGATGTAGGAGGTTCGAATCCAGAGCCGCACAAAGAAGGATTGTCAGGAGCCCTGCACACGGTACCCCTTGTGTACAAAAAAGCAATCCACATGTTCAGGTCCAGGTGCCCTGACTCATGATCCTAGAACCAGCACCCTCGAAAATATTTTACCCGCTTGTGTTGCCTGTTGAAGCCCAATTTTAACAAAAACACATGTAAAACCTCGACACAACAAACAGAACTTCAAATGGAGCCGGTTATAGAGCTCCGAAACACAGGCTTCAAAAGATCGCCCAGCTCGTTAAGGGACACTCCTCGTGCTGTCTGAAGCCCTGTAAGGTCTGCTCTGAGGTCCTTCGAGGGGTCCTTTAACCGTTCCTTCATCGGAACGGATAGGAACCCTTAACGGAACTCTTAAAGGAACACCTTGAAAAACTCATTGAAAGGAAAACTTAAGAGTTCCGCACCCTTAGGGGTTCTATAAAGGCTTCCTTTAAGGGTTCTATAAAACTGTTCCCGTAAGGGGTCCCTTAAGGGCTCCTTTGAGGGTTCCTTCATTGGGGTCCCTTAAGGCTTCCTCTTGAGGTCGGGATGCCGTGCGGAAAGCCATGGACCAGCTTCGGGGGAAGGAGCCGAACTCCCTCGCACTCCCATATCCATCCCTTAAACAAGGGATACCTAGGGTTCCTTTAAGGATTAGGGATCTATAAGACTTAGGGTTTAGAGGACTCCAATAAAGGAATATACCGTAAATGATAGTAGGAAGTTGGAAGGGCCGAAAAAATTATCAATACTATGTTGGGGACCCTTATTATGGTTAATCACAGTATGATATACCGCAAAAACCTTGTTCCAATTATTAAGGCCTTTATGGTACCCTACTTTGGGGGTTGTTTAGTTGAGTGTGTATAGGTTCTTACACGTTTGTATAGGGTTAACATACCCCGTAATTACAGAATCCACTAACTCATCACATCAATGCCTACGTCAATTTGCTTGGCGGCGGGTTTTGAATTTTGCTGGAGGGAAGTGAGTTTGGCTTCAGGGCTCAGGGAATTGTAGGGTTGCTTTGTAGGGCTTTACGAGGGTTTCTGAAGCTTGCATAGGTCGTTTCTTGAATTATGGGACGCAGGGCTTCAGGATGCAACTTTGGGCCTAGGATTTAGGGTAGGGTTTAGGGTTTAAGGCCTAGGATTTAGGGTAGAGTTTAGGGTTTTAGGGCTTCGGGTCTACGAGCTTCAGCATCTCAAAGGGGACAAGGAGGGACCCTTAATAGGGACCCCTGCCCAATAATTGGCTAAATAAGGGGTATATAATTGCTATATTAAGGGTATATACCTAGGGGTCCTCATGAAGGGTCCTTCCTTCTACCCTTGGAGCATCTGTAGAACTCCGAGGCTTGGGGCGCCCAGGTTCAGGGTTCAGGCTGGTGTGGTAAGATTGAGAATGCTACGGTTGATGATATAAATCCTGCATTACCTTAAGGGCCCCAAAATATGGGAATTATGGTATATTCCTTACTATGGCTCATGCAGGATTTATATCATCAACAGTAGTAGGAATACTCATAAAGATATTAATACTACTAATAATAGTGGGAAGAATAATAGTAATCGTAAAAATGGCACAACTTAAAGATACATTACCCAGGCTGTTCAGTGGTACACATTTTGACTTTCAGGTTTCTGAGCTCCATTTACAAAATTTGACGCCTAAAAAGTATATGCTTTTTCTCAGTGGGTTACTGAACAGCCTAGTCTAGGTCCTGATGTTTGTAGATCCTGTCTATGCGCAGTTTCCCTGTCCTGCGTGATGCCTGCGGAACGCTGGGCATTCATCTTGAACCGAAGCCTCCCCAGAGACTCCAATATCCCTTATTTAAGGAATCCGGTTTAGGGTTTAGGGTTTAGGGATCTAGCTTAAACCATATTGGGAATTCCCTACTATACATTGACGTCTATTCTTTCGTTGGGTATATGGGAGCCTTTTTCGTGATGCCCAGGATGAGCTTTAGGCGACCCCAAATCCCCAAAGAAGCTCCCCCGAAGCGCAGGAGAGGATAGCTCTGGCGGACAAGGATGGACAGATTCGGCCATCAGGCGCCTTGAGGTTGAACTCGGCTTTCTTGATATACATGAAGCCGAGTGAGAATTTGAAGTTGGAAACCTAGCATACCGTAGCAGATGTTTCACGGCGCCCATTTTGAGTGATGGCGCCTTGATTTCGAAGATAGTAAACCCTAAACCCTAACCCCTAAACCCTAAACCCTGAACCGTATCTGGTGCCAGAATAGAAAAGTCCACATAGGGCTCAGGATGTGGGGCGCTCAGGGCTTGGAGCTCAGGTACTAGGGATCTAAGGTTGCCGACTGCAGGTCGCTAAGAATGTGTGTACTACGGTTGATGATATAAATCCTGCATTACCCATAATAGGGAATATACCATAATTCCCATAGTTTAGGGTCCTGAAGGTGATTTATATCATCAACCGTACCACTAATGGTCGGCCTTTGGTGACTGTCAGTGGGGCTCCTTTGGAAGATCAATCTGAAACCTGAAACCGACATTTCAAAGCCCTGGATCGCAAGACCCGTTCTCTTCAAGCCTGCATAATGTAGGGGCCTTTACAGTTAGAATAGGGTTTGGGGGGTAGCTATCATGGGGAACCCCCAAAACCATATTCTAACTGTCTTGGCCTCTAAGTTCGCCCTCCAAGGCCTCCTTGTAAAGCCCAGCCTGTATCAAGAAGCCGACACTCTGCAAGCTCCTCTACGAAACCCTGCATTGGACCCTAAACCCTAAACCCCAAAATTCATAGTTCAAAACAAACCCCAAAATTCAACCCAAAACTAGGTACATGGATCCGACAAGCCTCTTGAGCCCTTCAGACTGCTCAACCTCTTAGAGACTCTAACCCGGTTGGATTTTGGGACATTTTCCTTATTTGGGTTTATAAGGGACCCTATATCTAAACATTTTTCAGGGTGTTTAAAGGCCAACCCAGCTAAGCCCACACCATCCTGGACAATATCTGTCCCTTTACCTTTGCAGTAGACACAAACATAGCTAGCCTTTGTAAGGCCCTGTTCAGAGACCTTATAAACCCCTGGAGCTAAACCCTTTAAACCCCTTCCCTGCCAGGCCCGACATCCAAAACCCTAAACCCTTAATCCCTTCAACCCTAACCCCTTGAACCATCGAGTTTCACGTAGTGTATGTCTGTAAAGACAGACTACACCGACCTAGCCAGTACACTGTAAAAAAGAACCTTAAACCCTATACACCCTAAACCCTTAAACCCTAAACCCTTAAACCCTTAAACCCTAAACCCTTAAACCCTTAAACCCTAAACCCTTAAACCCTAAACCCTTAAACCCTAAACCCTTAAACCCTAAACCCTATACACCCTAAACCCTTAAACCCTAAACCCTTAAGCCCTAAACCCTTTAAACCCCTTCCCTGCCAGGCCCGACATCTCCCTTCTCGGGGCTCGGGGAGTGCGCCGACCCGGACTGCCGGGCTCATCGCCTGGCCTGGCCTCAGGCCTTTTCTTCTCGGATCCCAGAGACCCCAATATCCCTGAATTAAGGAATATTACTTAAATTATGGTAGGATCCCTTATATGAGTTAAGGTAGATTCCTTAATTAAGGGATATTGGAGTCTCTGGGATGGGTATAGCTAGGGGCCTTAGTAATTACCTATACTATTCTTGTGGGGTTCGTGATTGTATAGTACAATGGGCCCCAAAACCCTGTTCTATACGATGATGACAGCCCCTACATCAGGCAGAGGGCCCTTGTTAGTTTTGGGGTCTAGGGTTTTACAGTTACTATAGGGGCGTAGATAATTCAAAAAAACTAAGTTGCAGAGTGATGATGAGTTGAGACGAACAGCAGTAGTATGAGTAGTAGAATAAGGTGAAATAGATATAGTACAATCGCAATCGTAATGACAGTAGTATCAGTTTTCGTGGTAGTAACAATGGCGATGATTGTTGCAAGCGTCCTCATTAGCACGCGACCCGTGCGTTTCTTAACTAAGGGGCCTAATAATTACCAATACTATATTGGAGGTTCCTTATCAGGATTGTCGTACAATATACCCGAAACCCTGTTCTTATTATGAAGGCCCCTATACAAAACCCTTATAGTATCCCTCAAAGCATCCCTTAAAGCCTTTATATAGGAACCTTTTAAAGGAACCCCTATCCTAACTGCGAAGGCCCCACAGAGAGTGGGCTCTTCTGGCAGGTCCGCAGCCGCTTCAGGGACTTCATCGTTGCCCGAGTTCGGGCGGCGGCTCGCCAGGAGGAGGCGGGTTTAGGGGTTGAGGGGTTTGGAGTTTAGGGGTTTAGGGGTTTAGGGTTTGGGGGTTAGGGTTTGGGGGGTTTGGGGTTGTAGAGTTTCGGGTTTTAGGGTATAGGGTTTTAGGGCTTAGGGTTTTTTGGGGTTTCGGGTCTTAGGGTTTAAGGTTTTATAGGCGTGTGGTTTGGCGCTTTAGGGGTTTCAGGGTTAAGGCGGTTTAGGGTTCAGGGTTTCGGGTTCAGTGGTTTAGGGCTTCGGGTTTAGAGTTTTAGGGTTTAGGGTGTGTGGTTTGGGGCTTTAGGGTTTAGGGTTTCAGAGTTTAGGTGGTTAAGGGTTCAGGGTTTGGGGTTTAACGGTTTAGGGCGGTTTAGGGTTTCGGGTTTAATGGTTTGGGGTTTAGGCGTTGGGGTTTATGGTTTGGGGTTTTTGTGGTTTAGGGTGCAGGGTTTATGGTCTCGGGTTTTAAGGTTTCGGGTTTAGGAGGAGGCGGGCATATGGTTGCAGGCTGGATGGTTTGGGGTTTAGGGTTCCCTTTTTGGGGAACTGTTGGGGTTTACTGGTTTAGGGTTTAGGGTTCCTTAAGGGGAACTATACGTGTTCCTAAATGGATCCCATAAGCCATAAAGGTTTGGGGTTCAGGGTTTAGGGTCTAACGGTTTAAAGCTTCGGGTTTAGAGTTTCGGGCTTTAGGGTTTCAGATTCAGGGTGTATGGTCTTGGGTTTAATGGTGAAAGGTTTGGGGTGTCGAGTTTTAGGGTTTTCGGGTTTAGGGTGTAGGGTGCTTTCGAGAGACTCCGGCTATTTAATTGGATTTTGAGCCTTTCACGGTGGTCCTGAGGGTTTAGTCTTAGGTAGGGCAGGGAGCTCGGCAAGTCAACCATCTACTTGGATGATCAGGGGAATGGGCGGGGCTCACAATCAAAGGTTCTAAAAGGGTCCGGGTTCAGAACAGTTTTTGGATGCGGTACGTAAGGCAACAACAGTAATCAGTGTCTACGTTCCCCCCCCACTTAAGTTATCAAGGTTCTGATTCTTAGATACTGACCCTCCTCCTTAATAATAAGCCCCCCTGTGCCCCAAGTAGGTGGAACACGAAGGTGTGAGCTGCTGGAGGGATGGGGAGAAGCTCATGAGCATATTCGATTGCCTATGGGAGGACTTTAAAAGTTTTGCCTGAGCATATATGTCTATCTTAAAAAAGAGAAGTTTGAACTATTTTGGGCCTGGTTTTTGAAGAAGAGAGACACCAAGTCCTGTAGCCCGATCGACTTGGGGGTCTGGGGTTTACGGTCTACTTGGAGGATCATGAGACTTAGTAGGTAAGGAATATAAGTACATTTCTCAGGAGTATAAGCTGAGCCGTAGAAGTAGATATGACACGATCCCTCAGTTTGAATCTGTGAGGGTCCCACTTGGAGGGTCGGGAGACTTAGTAAGTAGGTAATAAGGAGAGTTATAAGTACCCTAATAGGGACCCTAATTGGGGTTATGGTACTTATAGCTCTCTACACTAACTTCTTAGTAAGTCCCCCGACCCTTCAAGCACTTATCCAAATTCGCTTTTCTCAGGGTGTGCAGCCTTGGTGGAACCAAGAGGTGGGGCTCAGGCCAGACTTTCTGGGGGCTTGCCGGGGTTTCTGGGAGTTTTGGGGTGTTTTAGGAGGGTGCACGGGCATCTCGGGTTTTGCAGTGTTTTATAAGGGTTTCTACAACAAGGGAACCGCTTTACTATACTATACCAGTAGGCAGTCAAGGAGTATACTCCGGTCCCTATTAGAGCTAGAAATTGCTCTGGAAAGGGTTCGCAGTATGAGGGTTAAAGATAGAACTATAGGCAACGAATGGGATTGCAGCATTTGTTACTAACCTGGGGTTGCGAAATATGTTCGTAGTTCCAGCCATTCCAAGCCCTCTTCCAAAGAAAAGGTCCCTCTTGTAATATCGGGGCCATAATAATTAGAATAGGGTTCTGGGGCCCATTATACTATATGTAACTATAATCAGGAACACCCCCTGCCAATAGTATTGGTAACTATTTAGGCACCGACATTAGGCGGAGCCTGACGGTAAATGTCGCTGGGAAGGCAAAGCTGTCAGCAAACTTTCGCATGATCAAGGAGTAGTGGAGCAGCAGGAGGCTTATTCAAGGACCCAGAGTAAGCCCTTACTCCTTTTTTAGGGTTCAAGTTCCCGTATAACACCCTTTATACCCAAAAGGGCACCCTTTTCACTCCTAGGTTACTCTTATGTCTTGCATTAGTGTGGGCAATGCCAACGCGGTGGCCACGCACCTGCACCTATGTATTGGTATGATACCAGTTGGCTCTCCGAACAACATGAAGCAAGACTTGGAGGAAGCAACACCCTAGCAAACTTGTAAGCATCGGAAGGACCCTACGTGATTTATACATCCTTGAAGCAGTCTGAGAAGCTTCACCCCGAAAGCGCTAAACTTTGAAACCCTCATCTCTGGAAGCCTTAAAAGTAGAACCCTAACAAAGACAAAAGGCTTGAAACCCCTAGAAATGCAACTAAACTCTGAACCCCTAAACCCTAAGCCCCCAACTGGAGTCAGGTACACCTCAGTGGGCAGTGGCCAGTTGTTCTTTGACCTCGAGCTGCTCGAGAGGAGAAGCCTGCAGTATCCTTCTACGTCGCCCAGTAGTAGGTTTAGGGTCTATAGGGTTGTCTTGCACCGTTTATTTTGGGGGTCTTCCACTTCCTGGGTACTAAGGAGAATGAATGGATGCCTTTTCTGCCGCTAAAGGCTTGTTGGGGAATCTACGGCTGCAAAAAGCCTGTTGTAGAGAAGGTGCCGTTGGGAATATACTTCAACCGAAGGACATCCTATACATAATGGAATCCTAAGCTTCTGGCTGCTTTGTGGCTTAGGGTCCGAGGGCGAGGCGTTTTGAGACGGACCACCATGTGCACGGGTCGGGAGGTGATGGGTGGGTTTTACGGCTTGGCGTGAGGGCTTGGTGCTGAGATTTAGGGTGTCTAGTACAGGGGCCTGAGTTCTCTAATCAGTGTATGTGGTAATACTCCCCAAAGCCTTATCCTAGTAGTAAGTCTCCTGGGTCCTATACTATTTATTTGGGCCCTGGCTCAGAGACACTCTCAGGTGGCCCACATAAGGCAGATAGTGAGGTTGTTGTGCATGATGTAATGCACACCTGCCCCAGCTACTCAACTGGAAATGCATAAGACCAGCAAGATTTTGCTCTTCACAGACAGGATTGAAACAAGAGCTGCAGGGCGGGTATCGCCTCTTGCGATGGAGAGACAGAACATTTGGAATCGAGACCCCTCCGAGGTTGAATTCCCCATTATCCATGGAAATGAACCTAGACTTTCCCTAGGCATCTAAGGACTCATATATTAAGGCTTTTGGGCCCAAAGACCATACTATATAAGGCTTTTGTGCTAATTATTTTGATGCCCAGGGTTTTGCTCACGGTAAAACCTGAAATAGTCTAGTCCGGAACGTGCCCCGCTCCTCCAGGATCCGATATCTTGGGGTTCGCATCGCGCAGATCTGTCTCATAGATACGGCACCTTGGATTTTACTCAGATCAAAGGGGAAAAGGAGGGACCCTTAATGGGACCCCTACCCTATAATGGGCTATAGAATGGGTATATAAAATCTATACTAAGAGTATGTACCTAGGTGTCCTTATTAAGGGTCCCTCCTTTTACGCTGGATCAGAAGCTGGCGGTCTAGGGCTTCGGGGGTACTCTGAGCTGGCAGACGCTGATGCTTCTGCTGTGGCTACATTAACCAGAGACTCCAAAGCTTTTTCATGAGCCAGTTAAATATACCTTAAGATTTGGAGGGATCCCCAATGTAGGGTTTTGGGTTTTTGGTTTAGGGTTTGTCCCAATGTTTAAGGCAAAGCTGAGTTTTAGGAGTTTTTCCTTCAGTGCTCTACCCGTGCCAAGGGGCCCTAAAAAGGCGGTAGCACGTTGCCTCAAGCGGTGGTCTCCAGGCAGCTCATTGCAAGCATTGAAACTTTTGAGTGGATACACTTTACACTTTTGGGGATAACACTACCCACCATAAAACTGAAGGTGTACACCTTGTGGGTCTTATGAACTCAGCATCTCAGTTCCGGAATGTGAGACTACTAGAGATCTCCGCTCAAGTACTTAAATCTCTTGCCGAAGAAGTTCAGAGTTTCTGCTGCTACCAGAAGGGTCGGGCTTTGCACTCAGGCCTGACCTAGGATTTGTAGGAGATCAGCCTATATACGCAACAATAAGGCTTTTTGGTTATGGTTATGTATTGTTATTTGTAAGAGAACAGTCTATATCGGCAACAATAAGGCTTCTTGGTTACGGTCACATTGTTGTTTGCAGAGTTTGTGCTTTTATTGGAATATGGTGGTTTTGACAACTTGAAGCTCTTTTGCTCAATGAGGTCGGCAGACAGACCCTGCGATTTTCTCCTCAAAACTTCGGAGACCTCGACGATTAGGGTAGGGGTCTTGAGGGCATATAATACTTATGGTATTATAAATTTATGATCGTAGTAATACTAGTTGTCATGGCATAGTAACAATAACAGTTTTTACCAGCTATCCAGGCTTCCGTATCTGCTTATGGTTCTTGTACATAGGTGACGCATAGCTTTGCTCTGTTAAACCTCCAAATCTATATGCTAGTTTTTGAAAACTCGAAGCCCCAAGCCACCATGTTTAGCTCGGCAAAATTGTACGGCACCCTTATAAAAAGGACCCCCAGAGGGACCCTCATTTCGAGAATGACCTTCATTGCTCTAAACCCTGATCCTTGATTAAAAAAACCCTCATGGCAGTCGAGGCATATGCTGGCTCTCCACCAAGTGCCAGGATCCCGGTTTTTCGGTAGTTTCGAGTCGGGTTCGGGTTTTAGGCTTTAAAGCGCAGAATAATGAAGCATTAAGCTTTGAGTGTTTGGTTTGCGTTTGGGGCCACACTCCCAGCCTCAAACCCGATTCAAAACCTAAAAACAACTGTTCAGACTCCTCCAGTAGGTGTTTCTTCGGGGTTCCGACGTTCACAGCAAGTCCACAATCGGATTTGGGGCTTGTCTGTACGCAAAATACACTCTTTGATGGGTTTGGTTCATCATGGTTCCAACAAGAGAATATTAGACAATACGAGGGTACCTGATAGTTCTATGCAGATTTCAGCACCCCAGGCGATTGCTCCGTTCTGGCAGAGGTCTCAGTAGCTCCAGGTTCTATCATTGATGACGGACTGCAACCAGTGTCGAGTCCCGAAAGTGGGAACAGTGATGTGGAAGAAGTGTCATAGCATCTATGGGCCCATTATATTATAGATATAATAAGGAACCCCAAAATAATATAGGTAAGTATTTAGGCATCTATGCAACCGCTTGTCCAACCTGCCACGAACCTGCAACCGAGCCTTGTGAGCACAGTCTACCCGAGTACCCGAGCAGTCGCAGCAGTCTGTGCCGAGGTGGACGTTCGGCGCGCACTCCGTTTCTGGTCAGCAAATAGCTTAGGCAACACAGCAGCACCAACAGCATCAGTGGCATGAGCACCAGCAGCAGCAGCAGCAAATGCACCAGCAGCAGCAGCAGAAGCAGCAGCAGCATCAAAAGCACCGGCAACAGCAAGAGCAACAGCAAGAACAAGCAGCAGCGGCAACAACAACAACAACAACCGACAACGACAACAACAACAACAGCTGCAACAACAAAAGTATCTGATTACACAACAAGCATAAGAGTACTAATAAGATAATAATATCAGAGTACTAACAAGATGAAAATTATGATCACAATAAAATCGGGGCACCTAGGCGAATTCACCGACTGGCAACGAGCCGCCTCTCAGTTGTGCCGCCGCCTGGCCAAATGAGGAGGGCTGGCTCTGTTTTTGGGGTTCGAGGGGTTTAGGGTTTACGGGTTTCGGGCTTAGGGGTTTAGGGAATAGGGATTTAGGGCTTAGGGGTTAGGGGTTTAGGGGTTTAGGGCTTAAAAGTTTAAAGGGGCTAGGGAGTTAGGGGTTAAGGTCTCGGGAGCTACTTCTGATGGACTCTACCTCTGATGGACACTATCCTATCCGTAACGAGGACTTGACTGTTCCATAACTCGTATCGTTTATGGTGCTGAAGCGCAAGCAGGATTGTGTACGTTGCCAATAGCCGTATAAACAGAGAATCAAAGGGGAAAAGGAGGGACCCTTAATGGGGACCCCTACCTTATAATGGGCTATATAATGGGTATATAGTATCTATATGAAGGGGGGGTTTCAAGGGAAGCAGTCTTCCTCTTGGCTTGCGACTCTTCGTAATGCATGTACGGTCATATGGGGGTTTCCGAAAGCAGGGGTACCCTATTTTGGGGTCCTTATAATAAGGATCATACTATTTAGGGTACTATATTGAAGTCCCCCACCTTCGGAAACTCCCATGAACCCAACAACCCTGCAGGAATGCTCTTCACCTTGTGATTTCTATACGTTTTCGCCGCCCAGTGGGCCCTTTCACCCTTTGTGTGGTCTTAGGCTCCTTGTCTTAGTAGTCGAGTAGGTGACCTTTAACCTTTTTTGGGTAGCCTAGCCCCTATATAACCAAAATGTTAACCTTTCCCGACAAGTAGGTTATAAAGCTATCCAATACCAAAAGGGCGCCCTTTTTTGCTTACGGGGCATCGTCTAGAGCCCTCGCAGGACCCTTATAGATCTCCTAAAGGCTAAAGGAAAGGAGCCATTGAAGGATCCCTTACTTACCTTTGGTTTGTAGGGAATGCAGGAATGGGGTACAAGTATAACTACTACTATTACTACCATTCTTCCATTCCCTATTAACCAAAGGTAAGTTCAGGGATCCCTTAAACTAGGTAGGGCTTTGGGACATTTTAATATTTTCCCTTATTGGGCTTAAGGGGATCCTATTTATTAATATTTTTCAAAGGCTTTAAAAGCCCCGCCTAGTTAAGGAACCCTTAAAGGATGCCCGAAAGGCATCCTAGAAACCCTCGCTCCGCGTGTTTGCCGTTCGGTCTTCGAGAGGGAAGCCTCAAGTGCTGAGTTAGGAGTCGTACCCCAAAACGGGAGCCTAAGGTTTCCTTTACCTGGACCCCAAAAGTATGTAGAATAATCGTTGTTTATAGGTTTTGGGCCAATATTTTACCTACTTTTGGGGGTGTAGGTAAGGGTTTGAGGGTTTGATTGACGGTTGGGGACTTGGTATCGATGAGGGGCTTGTTCTGAAACCCCCTTATGAAAACGACACCTAGTAAGTCTTCCTTTGTATCATGAACACATGTTGTGGTTGGCACGAGTTGAAGGGCATAGGGGTTTGGGGTTTAGAGTTTACATAGGAGTCTTGCGTTTGCAGTTGTTGTTGCTCTAACCCCTGAGAGATTGCGAAAATTGAACTGTTTTCAGGGGTACCAACTTCGGTATACTCTGTCCTTGTTGACCTAAACAATTGTGGTTGTACATGGGTGTGTAGCTTTAGTTTTGAGTTTGATCTGATCTGAGTACCCAGCTGAGACTCCATCCTGTTGGGAGCCGAAAGCCGTTGAATACTACAGAAAGCTGAATAATTCAATAGTTACCAACATTTCCTGACGATCATTTACCCGAATCCCATTATGATTCTTCAGGCCTCGACCCTATATTCACACTAAACCCTGAGCTATAAGACCCCTATCTTACTAGCACGAGACATGTAGCGGCAATGCAGCGCTGAGGTCACGAGCCTGCTGAAGTCTTAGTCTTCAGCGAGGTGTGGGACTACTACGAAACATGCTGCCACTCGTCTGACGTGGAGAGTTAATGCGGATGCTCTTCCTAATACTCTTATATTCGAGCGTTGGCTGAGCCGTGATACGACTAGAGAGTCAATAAATTTCATGCAGGGGTTGGTCCACCATAAGCATGGGTCGCGAAACAGCAGATGCGTACTTGAGTCTCGAGACTGTTTCTAACTTACGGTCCCGCTTGGGTGCAATGCATATTGCTGCGGGCTTCACGAGTAGGGTTTCAGTTTCTCCTGTTACAAAAGCGAAAAAAGAACTACTGTAAGGGATGGTATATGGGGCAGTTCTGGAAGCCTGAATATAGAAGCCTTCTAACGGAACCCCGCTTGCATGTCATGCATATTGGGGCGACCTTCGCGCGAGTAGGGTTTCAGTTTTCGTGTGCTTCAAAGGGGACAAGGAGGGACACTTAATAAGCACCCCTATGTATATACCCTTAATATAGCCGTTATATACCCATTATATAGCCCATTATAGGGTAGGGGTCTCCATTAAGGGTCCCTCCTTCTCCCCTTTGATTGCTTGCTATCTGCAGCCCTGAGCCTGAGCTCCGCATGCCATACTCCCTGAGACTCCAAAAGCTCAATCTGCGATAAATTGCAGTGACACAGGAACCCTAACGGACCCTAACTAAGAAAGCCGGGGTCTTCATGGGGGCTCTTTTTGTGAATCCTAATATTGGGGTTATAGGGCCAAGGTTTCTTGATCAGGTTCCCCCCTTAGGAACGAACATAGTATGATTCTGAGGTCTATTCCTTAGTAGTAGAGTAGGTCAAATTGAACCTTTTTGGCGCACTGTAATCCCCCATAAGTTAACCTGTAGTTCCATTAGCTACTGGACATGTAAGATCCCTTATTTGAGGGGCTTTGGGTTCCAGTAACCAGGTTCCTACTGTTGATGATATAAGTCCTGCATGACCCATAATAACCATAATTCCCATAGTTTAGGGTCCTTAAGGTAATGCAGGATTTATACTACGTTAGGAACTAACGCAGCATGAATTGAGGTTTATTTCTTATTGAAGGGGGCTTGGGAGTCTCTTGGCAGTGGCTAAGGTGAATCCCAAGAGAACTCCAGCAAGTATCCCGACCTGGAGCGGTATAGGCGCCTGCTGGATTCTGGAGTCGGTAGCTCAAGGTTTAGGGAGTAATGTAGGGACCGAAGTAAGTACCAATACTATCTTGGGGGTTCCTTATTATCATTATACTGTAATGGGCCCAGAAACCCTATTTCAATTATTAAGGCCCCTATACTGTATTACCATGCTTGAATGTTTTTTTCGGACCTGATCCTTCAAGGATACTTTAAAGTCCAGAGCGCCTACTCTGAAGGCCATGGGTTTACGGATTATATAAGGGTTCCCAACCCTGTCCCCTCAAGCTGAAACCTAAACCACCCCAAGTGAAACCCTTAAACCCCAAGCAACTTTAAACCCTGAACCTTACCTTAAGGGGTCCGAATGACCCAATATGTAGGTGCTTGGGTTGAGGATAGTAGTTTTATTCTGATGCTGGGAGCATGTTATAACTAGATACTTGGACCCTTAAGGGTTATAAGTATACTCTAAACTTTAAACCCTAAACCGTTGCTCCAAGCCTGAACTTTTGAATCCCCCTTTTCAGGCAGGTTTTGCAATCTTTGGTAGTGCCGGTAATCGAGGGTCTGCGACCAGCTAGAAGCATTGGGAAACAGGAGTTTGAGGATCTTATGAGGATTCGACATTCTGAACTATGGGGTTTCACCAGCATTTCGAGATGTTCCTGTGCACAAGAAGTACCCGTACACACCTTTTATTTCGGTGCCGATTGTCTCAAGAGGTGACTGGAGTACAGTGTACTGTAGTATGTAGGTCTCAATGACGAGCATTGAGTGGAAGAACGCCCGGTCAGTGCAGCGAAGACCCCAATGGTGAGATAATCTGCCTACTGAGTCGCCTGCTCCTAGATAATATAGGGGCCTTAATCATTAGACTAGGGTTCTGGGCCCCGTGATACTATAGTTATAAGAAGGAACCCCGCAGAAAGTATGGTAATTATTAAGGCCCCTGCAGCACCAAATCTTGAACTCTTAAACACAAGACCCACACTCCTCTGGAGACCGGACCCTAGACCCTATATCCCGCAACCAAGACCTAAGACCTTTCGGCCTAGTGACGTGTTGATAGTATAGGGTATGTATAGCACTTGTGACTTTTGGGATAAGTGCTTCGGGGGTGGGGATCTTCGCAGGCAGCCCTGCGATCTCTTCGTGCACTGCCCGGCCCATGGTGATCGTGAAGACGGGAGCACGATTTAGGGTTTAGGGGTTTAGGGTTTAGTGGTTTAGGGGTTTAGGGTTTATATAGGGGTTTAGGGTTTAGTGGTCTAGGGTTTGGGGGTTTGGGGTTTAGGGGTTTAGGGTTAAGGGTTTCTTACCTTTGGTTAGTAGGGAATGGAGGAATGGGGTACAATTATAACTACTGTTACTACCATTCTTCCATTCCCTACTAAACAAAGGTAAGGATTCAGGGTGCTATCCTAGGTGTCGATGTGGGGTCATCTTTAATGGAGCTCCAATGATGAATAAGTTTGGGGACTGTTGCAACACACTCTAAACTCTTGTAGGAGTCTTGACAGAGCCCTGAAAGGAAACGTAGTCTACTGAGTAAGGCTCCCCCCATATAGGGGTTTCATACGAGGCGCTCGAGGTGCCCGGATCTTTCGGCCTTTATTCATAGGGACCGTTAGGGGGTGGGGGGGCGATGGGGCTGGGGGACTATACTTCCTTAAATGGGCGTTATCAGGTCCTTATCATTATGGGCATTAAGACCCCCTACGCCCCCCTCCCCCTACACCCCTATGGGTCCCTAGGAAAAATGGTCGAAGGGTTTTGGGTTTACTTGGAGGATCATGGGACTTAGTAATTAGCTTAAAGGCTTCCTACAAGGACTTCCATCAAGGTTCTACCTGGAGGATCATGGGACTTAGTAGGGGTAAGGAGATGCAGTAAGCGCCCGTACCAGGGTCAAACGTTTAATTACGGGTATAGGTCCCCTATGTATATAGCCATGAATAACCAAGTTCCACGATCCTTTAAGTAGCGTTTAGAGTTGAAGGGCGTTGGGGGTGCAGAGTTGCAGGGGCTTTGGGGTTTTCACTAGATGGGAGTTTCCGAAAATGAGGGACCCTAATACAGTATCCTAAATAGTAGGATCCCAATTATAAGGACCCCAAAAACAAGGTACCCCTAATTTCCGAAAACTACCAGATTAGGGTCCTAAAGGAACCCAAACGGAGGCGGCATCTCTTATAGAAAGGATCCTAAAAGGGTTCAGAAGTCATGTATGTTTTGAATAAACTTCCTTCAGGCCGTTTTGGGAAGATTACAAAGGTCCCACTGTCCCACAGCCCCTAGGTCCTAAAACCATCAACCAAAAGAGCCCCTAGATTCTAAACATCATAGTCCCGAAACTGCGGCCGAGGTGATGCCACATGGCCCGGTGCAGACGAGGCCCAGTGCGAATGCTGTGAAATTCATCCCTCCAAAGGGTTGTGTGAGAGATATACAAGAGTGTTGTGGGCTTTTGGTTTGGTTTAGAGTTCGTGAAGTTTAAGGGTCTAGGGGCTTCGGCGTTTTGGGCTTATGGGTTTTATTAGTTGAGGGTTGTTAGGGCCTCTTTTTCGGGTGGAGCCCGTTATCAGGAAATGTGCGCCCAAGTGGTCCCTTTTCTTTAGGCGGTCCTGAGGGCAAAAACCGTACAAAATTCCTGTCCTGGGGCATCCTGGTGACACACTATTCACCCGAAACCCTAAATCCGTAAGCCCCAAACACAAAAGAACCGAAACCCTAAACCCTATGAAACCCTGTAGGAAGGACGCTTAGAATAAGCATCTTCTGCCTCGCCATGAAGCACCAAACCGCAGAGTCATCCGACGGTCTAGGGTTCAGGGTTTAGGCTTAAGGGTTTAGGATTGCGAGGTTTAGGGTTGCGACGCCGGATTCGCAAGCCATCTCAGCAAACAGGTTTCCGAGTTTGAGGTTCGGGGTTTAATGTTCAGGCTATCGGGCTCGGCTGTTCCAAGGTTCCTTCCGAAAGGTTGCATCGGCTTTCGTCAGGTCCCATCCGGTCCATACATAGGGGGTTGGGGTTTGTGCTTTGCAGATCCTTCTTATCGGTGGCCCACCTAGATTGCAGCTGCAAGCCGCCCGAGCCCAAACCGTGAAGTGCCCGCGAACAAGGGCCTGTGTAAGTAGTAGTAGTAGTAGTAGTAGTAGTAGTAGTAGTAGTAGTAGTAGGAGTAGGAGTAGGAGTAGGAGTAGGAGTAGGAGTAGGAGTAGGAGTAGGAGTAGGAGTAGGAGTAGGGGTAGGAGTAGGAGTAGGAGTAGGAGTAGGAGTAGGAGTAGGAGTAGTAGTAGTAGTAGTAGTAGTAGTAGTAGTAGTAGTAGTAGTAGTAGTAGTAGTAGTAGTAGTAGTAATAACTAGTAGTATTCCATCGCAGTCTTTGCATGACCGTGTTATAACACTGCCCAGCACACAGTCTATTTTGGTGAGTGGGGGCTGTTGTGTTGACCCCGAAACTCCGAAAGCCCAACCCTAAACCCTAAAGCTTAAAACCCTAAACTAAACCTTAAAACCCCTAAGCATAAAACTTGCACCCTAAACCCTAAACCTTACACCTGAACCCCTAAAACTTGAACCCTAAAAACCCTAAACCTTGAACCCCTATAGTCCCAAAGCATATCCGTTCGGACAGGAAGTCGAGCAGTTGGCGCAAACTTCTCTGGCGCGAGGTAAGGATTCCTAAGATCAAAGGGGAAAAGGAGGGACCCTTAATGGGGACCCCTGGGTCCCTGTAATGGGCTATATAATGGGTATATAGTAGCTGTATTAAGGGTATATACCTAGGGGTCCTTATTAAGGGTCCCTCCTTTTACCCTTGGATAAGATGTTCGCGGGAAGGGTTTCGGAGTGCTTCATCTTAGTCTTGGCCCAATGTGGGAGTTTCCGAAAATTAGGGGTACCTTACTATGAGTTCCTTATAATTAATTAGGATCCTACTATTAAGGGTATTATATTAGGGTGGCCCCATTTTCGGAAACTCCCACGTCGGGATGGGAACGATTGTTAACAGTTGTTGTGTCTTGGACCCCAATCCCTTGTTCTAATTATGGACGCCCCTAGATTGGGTTTGGGGGTCCAGGGTTGACGGCTTCGGCTGTCTTTTGGACACTGGGAGAGGTTTATGTTTGACTAATTGCCGGACGCAGAGGGGAAGCGCGGCTCTTCGAAGATTTCGGCCGATGAGGATAAGGATTACGAAGAGCAATTCTTTTAAAATAGGGACGGAGACGAAAGGGACGACCTGCCACAAGATGCAATGGGGCCGGTGCTGCCGACGCTTCAGCCGCGATAGAAACGATTCTGCTGATAGTCATGGTAGTGATGCTGACGGCGAGGATGGCCTTGACGGCAATGATGTTGCTGCCGCCGTCTCGCCTAGAACATGAAACTGATGATGATGATGATGATGATCATGATGATGACGACTTGGTAGCTGAGTGGGGAACCTTAAACCCTTTGTGGCTTATAAAACCCTACCATAACTGAAAAGCTTAGCCTGATTGGGGCTAGGGTACCCGGCCATTGAGATCATGACGATGATGATTTCCTGGAGCCTGGTCTTGGGAGGCCCATAGCCTCCCTTGCCTTGCGAGTTCCTTCTCCGGCAGGTCCTTCAAACCCTTAAATTTCAGGCAAGGGCTCGAAGCTAGGCTAGGTATCGATTTGGAATCTTTTATAAGTTCCTTGGTTCTGTAGGATTGAGCCCTGATGGGAAATACTTTTGGCGGAGTTTTGGAATCGACACCTACTAACTTATGTAGTAGGTGGCCCCGTAGTGACCTTATACTTTTTCGATGTTGGCATTTCTCCTCATCAAGACTACGTATTAGCAGGGTACCACAGCCAACATGTTTAAACGTTTAGACGCCCTAAGAATCTAATCTCAAAAAACCTATGGAACAGTTTACTTATTAAACACCCCATGACAAGCACAGCAAGAACCTATAGAGGAACTTATCTTTTGAGTCTTGACGGGGTAACCTGGAAACTTAATGACAAAAGAAGCCCTATGGAGCAGTTTGTCTTTTGGGATTTTTCTGTGGAACCTAACCTGGATTCAACCCTAAACCCTAAACCACCAAACCCCTAAACCCTAACCCCAAAGCCCCTAAACCCCTAAACCCTAAACCCCTAAACCCTAAACCCCACTAAACCCCTAAACCCTAACCTGGGAATCGCAGGCGGATTGCTGGCCCGGCTGTCACCCTCCTCAGAGGAGCCGCAGATCAGCGTGGCCGGTGCTGTGGAGCCTTGGTCCTTAGTTATAAGTGGGGTTACAAGTAGGGTAACTATAGTTATAACTTATAACCCAGATTAGGGGACTGATAACTCCATTTATAACTCCATTAAAAGCCCTTGTTTTTTGGAGGCTCTCTATGTTAAATCTGGTATCATCTAGCCCGAAAAACCTTAGCCACTGGGAGAGGCTTAAGCTTGTTGGGCTTGGTCATTGAAGAAAACAAGTCGAGGTGGGGCCTTAATGATCCCAATGGTTCGTAGTAGAAAGCAGAGTTTCTATAGTAGGAACAACGAATATAGTTTGGGTACGTCTTCCCCGGAAGAGTACTTACCACCGTCTGGGACTCTCAGATCTCTCAGGCTATCTTCCTGCCTGTGGCACGAGCAAAGGCTTTGGATGCAGGGTTTAGAAAGTAACATCCTGTTGCGGGTTTCCCGCAGAGCAAGATTTCATTGTCAGAGCTCCCCTAGGCTCCAGAGGTCTGGCAACGAAGTAGGATGAGGGCCATGATAATTAGAGTAGGGTTTTGGGGCCCATTAATACCATGATCAAAATAAGGAACTCCCCCAAAATAGTGTAGGTAATTCTTGGGGCCCCTGTATTAGGAATCCCACCCTGATCTTTTCTTGGAGCTGGGGCTCAAAGAGCCCTCCAAGACGATAACCCATTACCCTCTTCTGATACCAGTACGGAATGTAAAACAAAAAGCAAATTCCGGACCCCATATGGGTATTATTTAGGGCACCAAGAAAGGGACCCGAATTTTGACAACTACCCATATAGAACTGATATGCTATATATTCCTCTCTTATGTACGGCTTCATAGGGGCATGAGTAAAATCATTAGGGTTTCATAATCAGGGGTCTCTAAGGGTTACTAGAGGGGATTTTTTGTAGGGTTCTATAATATAGGGGCCTGAGTAATTAGAACAGGGTTTTGGGGGTAGATTAGAGGATGGCAAATTCTGCGAACTGAGGCTTGCCTTTGCCCAGGAGTCTGCTTGGAGGCCAACCTTCCAGCTTTCTAAGACGATGACCACGACTACTACTGGATACTACTGAATTAGGGCCCTTTCGTATCCTTTTGATAAGGGCGCCGTACTTATTCGGACACCTGACCGCGGACTCGAATTTACAGAACTTCCCGACCAGCCATACCGTACTACGAGTCGCAATGGTCATGCTGTTCAACAAGCATTGGCAGAGCCCGGCAAGTCTAAGTCAGCTCTAGATCCGTGTCCCTGAGCCGTAAAGCGCTTACATCCCAAGCCCCAACAGCCTCAACTCAACCATGAGCCCTAAACTCCAAACCCTAAACCCGAAACCTCTAAAGCCCTAAAGCCCTAAACCTTAAACTCCAGAATCTAGACCCCAATTCCGATGTCAAACCCAGGAAACGAACACGAACTCGTTTGGCCACAGCTCCCTGGTCGCAGATTGTGCGTTCCGGGTTTTTGGGGGGGGGGGGGGGGGGGTCTTGGTTGAAGCGCCAGCAGACGTAGTAAGCGGGTTATAGGTGAAAAAGGGGTCGGAATAAATAGTCGTATCATTCCCTTATAGTCCCTACTATAATCAGCCCAGGCACCTTAACATAGAGATTCAGGGTCCAGGAGTCTTGCTTCAGAGTTCCCGTGCTGATTCAGGACACGGCTAAGGGCCAAAAGTGTATGTTGTTATTCTTTCCGGGTCTACATAGAGGATCAGAGGACTTAATATATATATATATATATATATATATATATATATATATAGGTTAAAGGTAGAGCTATCAGAAGCATAGGCCCAGTTGGGATGCTTATAATGTACTTACCTTTTGGTTGCTGAGCCCCTTGATCCTCCAAGTCGCGTTTCAGACGGATTCTGGACCATGGCTCTGCCTCGATCTGTTCCCCCGCTAAAGAGGGCCGCAGTACTTCATTATAAGACCACAAAACCTTCACTAACGGGCCCTAGACCTTTGTGAGACCGCAAAAAGCCAAACAAATAATCCCCAAACCTGCTTGATCCTTCACTTCCTGAGCCCTTGTAAAGCCATAAAGAGAATTCATTCTTCTTAGCCCTAACCCCTTTCCCCTTCGGTTCCTGTGCCCGAGTTGAAGACATGCCAGGCTTGGCTCCGCTCCTATGTCGCGCCTGGGTCCAGCCGCTCCCTTCATGGCTAGTCTTTGTCCGCTTTAGAGCTTACTCAAAGGATCATGGACTTAGTAGCTATAGGGTTATAAGATGCTTATAGCACTAGGGGCTGTTGGGGTTTGGGATTTAGTGTTTAGAGTTTAGGGTTAGAGTTTAAGCTAGGTCCTTTACAGGTTCGCGGGCTTTCAAGCCAGACCCCACACCCGCCTAAACCCTTCAGGGCTTTTGGGGCTTAGGCCCTGTTTGAAGAAGGATGTAGGGTTCTACACGGAGGATAGCTGCTTTTGCGTTTCGGGCTTGATGGTTTCAAATTTTCGAGTTTAGGGCTCTTGAGCGTTAGGACTTTATGTAGTTCTGGTTGCAAGGTTTCGTGCTTTAGAGTCTAGGTTTTTTGGATGCTTTGAGACTTTGAGTCAGCGAGGTTTGGGTTTGAGTATCCCCACCCTAAACCCCAACGGACGTTGCTTTCAATCCTATGTCTACCTCCGTACCTACCCATGAGTCTTGAGTTCGGACAAACACTTCGGTCTTCACGGAGTTCTTCTTCGATAACTTGCATGTAGTCCTGAAACCCAGGGTGCACACTGTACTCAGGAGGAGAGCAATATATGCTCTGGCCTTTAACACCGAAAACATGCTTTTGCTTCTCCCGTATTTGAAGACTTGCGTACAGCCTGGCATCTAGCCCGCTTGGAGGATCAAGTAAATAAGGATACATGTGCCTCAATTAGGATCACCAGCAATCAGAAGAATCGTCAAACGTTACCCTGTTCATAACCCTCATATAGCGGCCTAAATAATTTGGGGTTCCTTATATGCTATAATATACCCCTCAACCCTGTTCTAATCATTAAGGCCCCTATGTGAGCTGCTATGCCCCGTGACCCTTTGAGTATCAAGAACCGCAAGGATGGATGCGGGCTCGTCTGTGGCGACGTCAGAGTGCCTTGAGCCGGTTTCAGATGTCGCGCTTGGCTATAGGGTGCTCAATTATCTCGGTTCTCCAGTTGTACCCTTTTGCCTGTTTTGTTGGGGGTCTTATTATTAGCAACGCCGCATACTAAGAAAAAGGACACTCCTGTTATTGAAGGGGCTGCTGGGGAACCTAGTTACGTAGTTACAAGCCCACGACTGCCTTCCATTATGATCTTTTGGATGGTGAAAGACTCTGTAAGTCATTCCTTGCTTGTTGCTCTCAGTTTCGCCGGAAAGCACAATAAGGCACCCTCAGGATTAGTACCGGTAAGTGTTTATTCAGGCTTATATACAGTACTTGAACAACAGCGCGATCTGGGGTGAACCCTCAACGTAAGCACCCAGAGTCCTGACATGCGGAAATCCCAAGAACTACCACATGCCGCGCCTAAGGATGAGAGTTTCGCGTAGAGAGTTCTGGGGGTTTGGACGTTTAGCTTCGGGTTTCTTATGGGTGTCAGGATTGCTTGGAGGATCATGGGTCTTAGTAAGTAAGGATATACGTACTTGAAACAGGCAGGTCAATAAACAATTATAACTATAGTTTTTTTATTATGCCAGCTACTACGTCCTGTGATCCTTTCATTAAACCCATAACCCCTACAGATTCCTTATAGGGCCCGCTTAAGGAGCCCTTTAAGCTGCTAAGTGCCGTGATCCTTTAAGTAGGGTAAAAAGAGTAACCGGTGTATCGTAAAGAAAGGACATGTCGGACATGGCCCTGCCAACTTAGGGGTACTTAGAAATGCTTTTTAATTTTTGGTTATTATAATCCCTAAGAAACAGCTAATTTTTGCTAGGGTTCTAAGTTCAGTATAGAAAACGGTTACCTTTCCCGTGTGGTTGAGTAAGATTCCTTGGTTACTCCAGGTAGGGTTTGGAAAGACACCCTTAAGCCTAAACTGCAAATTTCAGGATTGCTGGGGAAGCCAAGAGGGTCCAACTGTTGATGATACAAATCCTGCATGATCCATAATAAGGAATGTACCATAATTGCGATAGTTTAGGGTCCTTAAGGTAATGCAGGATTTATATCATCAACCGAAGTATTCCTTCCTCTGGACTTGTGGCACCCAAGTGGGACCCAAAGTCGAAGAAGGTACTTGGACTTGGGCCCGTTTAATATGTAAGTAATGATATAGTATCCCAAAACTACAATATTCTATATACTATATTAATTAATCAGTTAATGAATTTCAGTAATGAATTGTATAATATACTGTAGTATGTACTGGGGCTTGTGGGTTTCGGGGTTAGGGTGTCGAAAGACCCTGAGGCTTACAGCGACACCGTCCCGGCCTTTGCAGCCGATCTTGGTCGAGGTGGAAGGCGACGCCCAGCTGGCTCCGTGGCAGAATCAGGGATTTAGGGCTTCAGGGGTTTATAGGGTTTAGTCATAGGTGGCCAGTGCCATGCTACTTCAAACATCGTGCTGCTTCCGTTAAGCGTTCTACTCCGGCTTGGGCTTCATTTCAGCGTGCTGCTTCAAATCTGGGATATATTTACCATGAACTTGAGGTATTTGCTTCATTGGTAGGGCTTGCAGACAGAGCAGCGGCTGGGGATCCCTTGCGTCAACATGCAAATTTGGGCGTCAACATGCAAAGCTCGGTTTCCAATTAGCTGATCATTGTTTTGGGCCGATGTTCCTCATGTTAGGACGACATGAACCAGCCATAGAATGTTGCTGCACAAAAACCATCAAGAAGAGATCCAAGTAAAGCATGAAATACAGCACACCGCAGGTCTTCTTACTTTCAACACGAGTCCTGGAACAAATGAGCGTGACAAACTCTCTTAGGTGAGGAAAGTTTTGACAGCGGTTTATCCGCCGTCGGTGTCATGTCTTCGATGGATGGGCCGCCGGCATATTTCGTTGCCATCCCGAGAAATCATTCGGGTTTTGGCCTGGACAAGTCGTACATGACGACGAGCTCCAATCACCGACATTTGGCTATTATTGAGTGTGCATCGCGCCCTTCCATATCGATGTCGGGAATCACAGAACCTCAACACGTTTAACACACAGCGTGCCAACGGGGGTACGTAGGGTTTATTGGAGTTTGCCCATGGCATTTGGCCGCAACTGAGGCTGGCTTTTAGTTTGCTCCTACAGAGATCGGCGTCGAGAATGATGTCACCACCGCTTTGGTCCTGAGAGGGCTCTGGGCCTGCACTCAGGCGGGAGAAGGCCCTGGTGGGGCCGGTCGGACTGGCCAGACCATTGGGCGGAGAGATTAGAACGGGCAGCCAGGAGCGGCCACGGCCACCGAAATGGGCCCAAGTCTCCTGCTCTCATTTGATCTTGCGGCGGGGCCCCTGCTCTTGTTTGATCTTAAGGTGAGGCTTCGGATGCAAAGGCTGCATTAGAGCGTTCTGTCTGGAACAGCGTGCTGCTTCAGTGCGTGCTGCTTGGGGCATTCGTGCTGTCTGGACGGGCGACGCGCGCGCACCAGCGCGGCACAAACGCGTGCCCACCGCAGGGAAACCGCTGAGACAGAACGATTAGTGGGGATAATGCTTAGTTTGGGAAAATGCGAATGTCCCAGGGATTGGACACCATTAGTGCATGCTGCTTCTGCAGCGTGCTGCTTCACTGTGCGTGCTGCTTGGGCATGTCGCGCACGCGCACGTGCGCGCACCAGCGCGCACTCGACGCGCCGAAGCAGCAGGCAGACCCGAAGCAGCATGCATAAGCGCGCGGAAGTCTCATACTGCGGCAACATGGCAGAAGCTGCTGCAGCCTGGCTCCGGTCCAGGCTGCAGGCGTGAGCTGAGTGCCTGGCAGCATTAGTGCGTGCTGCTTTAAGGGGATCGTGCTGCTTCGTTATACGTTCTGCTTCGCAGTGCGTGCTGCTTCGTCCATCGTGCTGCTTCGTTATGCGTGCTGCTTCGGTAATCGTGCTGCTTCGTTATGCGTGCTGCTTCGGTTAGCGTGCTGCTGCGGTTAACCGTGCTGCTTCGTTATGCGTGCTGCTTCGTTAGTCGTGCTGCTTCGGTTTACAATCGTGCTGCTTGGTTATGTGTGCTGCTTCGCTATGCGTGCTGCTTCGTTATGCGTGCTGCTTCGTTGTGCGTGCTGCTTCGGTTTGGAATCAAAGGACCTCGGCCGAACCGATGGAACAAAAAAAGGAATGAGCACGTCGAAACTAAGCTGAACATCCTGGATCATGCTGCTGTATACCGGAAACCTATCGGGGAGTCCTCCACAGCGCTTAGCTTGCTGCAGTGGGAGGATGTTAGACGATCTGCCTCCAAGTTGGAGTCGCTTCGTTCCCTAGGTTTTTGTTTCTGCGCCAGTGTGCTTGAATAGGATGCGCTGGACAGCTTCCGTCAAGCTTTCGCAGAAGCAGATGTGCCACTGCGACCTCGGTTTCGACACGTCGTGGACGCCGGCTCCAGCACCAACGTGGCGCCACCAGACAATCAATGCTCTGCTTTGTCGACCTTCTGCCAGCACTCCTTCGCCGAACCGGGTTTTGACAGAGACTGTTGTCCGCTACCTTCAAACCACGGATGGAAAACACAGACGGGTCTTCGGAATCCACCAGAAGCCCCAAGCCGAAGCAGCATGCACAAACGAAACAGAACGGGGTTTGAAGCAGCATGGCACTGGCCATCTATGATTTAGGGCTTTAGGGATTCTGGGGTTTAGGCAGGGATTCGGGGTTTAGGGGTTAGGGTTGAGGGATTATGGATTCGGGGTTTAGGGCTTTAGGGTTTTGCAGGTTTAGCGATTCAGGGCCTTAGGGTTTAGGGATTCGGGGTTAGGGTTTAGGGTTTATATACCTGGACCCCACATACCCTACCTTTTTGTGGCTCCTTCTTATGGTTTCCTAGTTTGGATCCGTAAAAAAGCGTAGTTGAGTTGGCAGGGTCTATGGGCCTTGGGGTTTAAGAGTTTAGGATGGGGTTCTAGGGTTTAGCAGGGTTTAGGGGTTTAGGGTCTATGAACCTTTCGGCGTTTTTGGGTCGGTGCTTTTGTGTTTTGGAAGTTTTTGGGGCGACACAGGTTCGTGCTGAGGATCGGCGGTTTAGGATACGTTGGAACCCTCAAAGTCCCAAGCCCAAAGCCTTGAGAGCTCGGTAGCCCAGTGGCACCTGACGGTCTCTCTAAGCCCTCAACTTTAAGCCCTTTTAAGACTGGCTACTGCTTCGAGAAAGGTGGATCATAAATCCGGCTTTTGCACGCTGCACCGCCGAACACAAAGTCCAGAGATGTGGGGGCTTCGAGTTTAGGGCTTAGGGTAGGACGAGTTTAGGGCTCTTGGTGTACTGAGCTTTTTGCTAGCTCTTTGAAGGGGATCTGCCCAACAAACGCCTGCGCCCACCTGCAAAGGGGAGTGGAGAAGTTACCTTGTCACAGATGGGTCGTCCGGCTTCTGGAGTACCATAACTGAATATGTTTTGGACCTGTTCCATGAAGGGAATCAGTATGAAAATCTATACCATACTTGTTTCTGCGAACGGTTGTTTCTCCCCGGCTACTTCAAAGTCCAGTTTTTCAAAGCCTCACTCAGGAGGAATGTCGAGCGGCAATCGAGGCCAGGGCGCCGTGGAAAGAAGCTGGGACAGTAGGGATATTCATTAGAGGGAGTTGGTGTGTAAGCTATGCATCTGTGTGTATAATATTAGTATGTCTGCAAGCAAACGTATGTTATTGTATACGTATGCGTACATGTACGCATTGTGTCATATAGTTTACTCTACATGGTATAAATATGCGTATATATATATATATATATATATATATATAATATGTCTATATTCTTTGGTTGCAACATGTTGTAGATAGAAAGATCGACAACTAGATAGACAGATAGTTGGAGCATTTTGGATTGAAAGCTGCTGAGTGCGTTTGGGGTTTTGTTACTGTGATGCGAGAAGTAAAGAGAGTTCAGAATCCTTTACAGTGGAGCTTTACTTGGAGGATCATGGGACGTAGTAAGTAAGGTTATAACTACCTTAATTGGGGTTATAAGTAGTTAGAAGTACAGCTACCTTAATTATAACCCTAGTTACTAAGTCCCAAGATCCTCTAAGTAGGACTGCTGCAACCCGTAGACTGGCACAAACAAGCCTAGCTTTGTCGGCTGAGCTTTGCAGCGCTCCGACACTCGCACCGAACAGCACAAGACGACTAGTCAACGTCACTCTTCCTTCTGAAAATGCCGTCCCAAAGCATGAAGTGGGGGAAGAATCCGGGCTTAGGGTTTTTAGGGCCTTTCGGCCGTATGGTGCAGGGTTTCAGGAGAGCTTGAGGATTTTCCACAAATTCAATGTTGGAGGGTCGGAAGACTTAGTAAGTGGGCACTAAGTGGCGCTACAAGTACCCGAAAACTTCATAGAATGACTACTTAGTGAGTCCCCCGACCCTCCAAGTACTCCCAGTCCTGTGGACAGGACACAGAAACCTCGGAGCCAAAGTGCGACCTTGCGCTTGCCCGGATCCTCGCAGACGCCCGGGAGAATGCCCGTAAGGAGGCACAGCAAACGGGCCGTAACTGAAGCACAAACATGTAGGGTTCTTAATAATTAGAACAAGGTTTCTGGCTCTTTTGGAATGTAAATATAGTAAGGAACCCAAAGGAATAATACTAATACTTATATAGGCTTCTCGTGTTTTAGATTGTAATCAGCTTATTTTCAGGGGTTGACAGTTTAGGATTTGCGGGTTTGGGGTTCAGGGTTTACAGTCTTCGGGTTCAGGTTTCGGATTTAGAAGCTTCACAACCACAACCGCAGTCGAAGTAGCAATAGTTGCCAGTCACCAGAGAGTTGTGCGAGCGGTAGCTATGGCAGGCTTCTTTTGGCTAGCGATATCTCAGTAGCTTATGAGCAACCCAATCCAAGTAGAGATGCCCGTAGCTTAACATACTGCCTACATACGTATTCCGTAACGAAGATCCATTGTATGATCTAGTAATATTCCCTGAACCCTCAACCCAAACCCTTCCCCTTGCTTTAGGAGTGTTCTTTGATGAACGAGTCTCTTCAGTCATCACAGACTCCCGTACACGGAAAATCCGCTAAATGAGTAGTTCTCGAAATTGGGTTCCCTTTTTGCGTCCCCTATGTAATACGGCACTCTTACAATAAGGACCCATTCCAAAAAGCAACCCTCACTTAGAGAACTTCCCAAATCGCCTTTCATTCAGAGGTTAGGGCGAATACTGAGTAGCCATACAGCAGAAGCCCAAGAGTTGGAAACCCAATAGCCTCAATCCTTAAGAGTAATGTACAGGGAATCCCAGCACTAACTGTCCTTAATCCGGTTTCCAACCTTTTGGGATCTACTATAGTGATAACGGCAGTAACGCGAGTCATGATAGAGATTAGCAAGGCACATGTGGCAGTCGTTAAAACGAATAACACTAAACTTAAAGGTCGGAAGGCAAGCAATCATGACAACAAAGAAACAATAACAGCAACAGTAGTCTTAATTTGCGACAAACATCTAGACCCTACAGCCCTGGTGAATAACTATAGCAGGTTACCCTTGGCTAGTAGGGAATGGAGGAATGGGGTACAGTTATAACTAAACTATTACTACCATTCACATAAATAGTTGTAGTCGTGTTTCCGAACACTGCCAGGCCAAGCGACGGAAGCCGCCCACGGAGGCGGAGAAACCAGGCTCCTTCCAAAATCGGACTTAGGGTTCTAGGATGTCAAATCAGGGGTTCAGAGTGTTCAAGGGTGTTATACAAGTTAGGGGTTTTCAGAGCGTTTCAGCGGGCATTCTCGTTCTCGGGTGTGCTAAGCTTCTATACTTCATTGCATATGGTTGTGGGTTATATCCTTAACGGGAGTCAGCCAAGCTCTGGGCTAAGCCGGTTTAGTTTGTAGTGTTTAAACATCCTGGGTTCCCGTGGGCCCCACAGCACCCTGATTTAGGAATATGGTGTTAACTTGTATAACAAATCCCGTTATAACTTCCCCGAGTGTAGGGAAATTCGGTAGATCGTAATAGTAAGTAAAGATCCCTCTACAGTTTGACGTATAGTGCATGATTAAGGGTGCGTTTGGAGTCTGTGGTGTTTGGGATCCTTTATGTTTTTTTCAACCATCTGTCGTGATGAACTGAGGGGTTTGGGAGCCCTGGGTGGCTCTCTTCATCCGTAAACCCCACACCCTAAGACCCGGAACGAAGCCCCTAAACCCTAAACCCTTAACCACTAAAACCTTGAAACCCTAGACCCTAAACCCGTTTTAGGGTTTAGGGTTGGCTCTCCCAGCCAGCTTGGCACGTTGCCTCCTTCGGGAGAGCTGCTCAAGGAACTTGTGCGCCTCGTACGCTTCACCAGTCGACCTTGAAACTCGACGCATGAACCTCCCATTATACGGGCCTTAATAATCACCTACCCTGCACGATTTTTTAGTTCCTTAGTATAGTATGCTCCAAAGCTCTATTCTAATTAGTAAGGTCCCTATATTTCTGCGATCCTGGTCCACCTTACTCCTTACCCGGAGTTGGAACTTGTGGCCTCCTATC